TGGGAGAATTCACCTCACTGTGGTTTACTTTGGAAAAGAACAAATGAATGAAGTCAAATCAATACTTGAAAATACCTCCAAGTAAGTACCAGAATATCCCATGTGTGCTGTTCGTCGACAGCGATCGTACCATGCACTGCAGATGAGGTAGCTGTCCGAACTTGTAGCTGTGCCAAAAAGTTCTAAACTGCATTGGAGAAAACACCTTGCTTTTCTTTGTATCAGATAAAAATGGTGTTACCCTGCCAGTCCCCTATCTGTGGGTTTGTGATGTTGGTTTTTAGAACTGCCAAGCAAATTTTACAGAATTTACCTCAGTGCAGCTTTTTTTTTTTTTTTTTTTCACATTGGGAACTGCTTTAGTGCCTTTTAGGACTTAGGAAGTCAACTATTAGGACTGGAAGTTGACTTCCAAAGGCAGGTGCAGACAATATCAGTGGAGCACACAGGAACTAGATGCTTTTGGCCAGGTCTGATCTACTGTGTTTGCTCGTACAGCTCTGTTGGTCAAGATCATGTGGCAGTGTTACCATCTCCTTGTGGGAAGAAGACCCCTGTACAGATACAGAAATACCACAGGCTTTTTATATTTGCCTACTAAAGGTATTTTTCTCTATCTCAGCCTTGCTGGGATTTTTGTGTGCTCTCCCCAAAGAATGTATCTGACAGGAATGTCAGTGTAGGAGTACATAGGTCAAGCTCTAAATCAAGACATAATGGAAATCTCCTTAAGACTCAAAGAGGACGTGTCTTCCCTCAAACTGCTCTCAGGACTGTGATACTACAGATTTCTATGTTTTTCCCACACCTGCTTTTACTCAGAAGGAGGAAGGACAGGGTAAGTTGCTGAATGTTTTCCTTCTCCTAGATCAGCCAACTTCAAGAACTTCACCTTCATCCAATTGAATGAAGAATTTTCCAGGGGCAAAGGATTAGATGTTGGTGCTCGGTTTTGGAAAGGAAACAACGTTGTTCTCTTCTTTTGTGACGTGGACATATACTTCACAGCTGAATTCCTCAACTCCTGTAGATTGAACACACAGCCAGGTACTGCTACTTGTGAAGGATTATCTTTCAACAGATTTTTACCTATTGTGCAACAGATTTTGCTGGAGTATTCTTGCCTTTGAATTGATAATAAAGCTGCTGAGTGTCATTCTTGAACCTTAGAGTTCAAGATGATGACATGTATGAAAATTCCATTGCTGGTTGGCTTTTGAAACGTTATAACACTCCTGCTCCCACTGTGATTGGATTTCTTGCCTTCAGCACCTATAACTTATGAAACAGGATTTTTTTTTTTAATTGTGTCCTCACATTCTCATGCAAAGAACAGAGGGTCAGTCCAGAACTTATGTGACTTTGGATTTAGTCTGGTCTGCACAGCGTCTTGTAAAAGAGAAAAGTGTGTTTTATACAGCTTTTAAAAAAAGAATAATCCATTGTCGTTTCCAGGGAAGAAGGTGTTTTATCCTGTTCTTTTCAGCCAGTATAACCCCAGTATAATTTATGGCCACCATGATTCCATCCCATCTTTAGAACAGCAGCTGGTAAGTACCTGCTTCTCCAAACATACCTACTTTTATCTGGACAAAGCATTTTTTGAAGGTGCATGTTTTCTCCTCAGGTTGCCCAGAGAAGCTGTGGATGCCCCATCCCTGGCCGTCTTCAAGGCCAGGCTGGATGAGGCTTTGAGCCTGGTCTAGTGGAAGGTGTCCCTGCCCATGGCAGGGGGGGTTGGAACTAGATGGTCTTTTAAGGTCCCTTCCAACCCAAACCATTCTGTGATTCTATGTGCTGTTGAGTAGCATTTCCCTGTTTTTTGTGCACAGTGACTACCACACAGACAAAATTAACTACAACAGTCACCTTACTGTGAGTTCTGAAGTTAAGTTTCACAGGGAGATATCTTGGTACCATTTATTTTAACCCTTGTTTGATCTGCTGGTGTGAGGACAAAGCATTATTTTTAAAAACATTGCCGTTCTCCTGTGCTCTGGCATTGCACTGTCGCAAAGCTAAAGGGGTGATAGAAGTGTTGACTTTCTCTTTATATACACTCTCCGCTCTCGCTTTTCTCTGGAGTCAGAGGGTCACGGCTCTCTGCTGGTAAGTGGCTGAACTGTTTCCAGTTCTGGGCTCCTCAGCTCAGGAAGGACAAGGAGCTGCTGGAGAGGGTCCAGCGCAGGGCCACTGCGTTGATGAAGGGCCTGGAGCACCTTCCACATGAGGAAAGGCTGAGAGAGCTGGGTCTGTTCAGCTGGAGAAGAGGAGGCTGAGGGGGGATCTCATCAATGGGTGTCAATATCTAAAGGGTGGGTGTCAGGAGGATGGGGCCAGGCTCACTCTAGGGGCAGTGACCATAAACTGGAAACAGAACGTTCAGCCTGACCATGAGGAAACCCTTCTTCCCTGTGAGGGTGACAGAGCCCTGAACAGGCTGCCCAGAGAGGTGGGGGAGTCTCCTTCCCTGGAGACTTTCCAAAGCCCCTGGACTTGTTCCTGTGTG